ATATTTCAATTTATTGGGTTGCATTGGTTGTACAAATACGATAGGTTGTATTTGAAATAATCCCTATATATATATAAATATATATATATATATATATAATATATATCTTGATGATAGTTCTAGAAAAACAACAATCTGCAAGGCTACTAGCTACTGGATTCCAGACGTAATATACTGAAAATATTATGATTATACATGAAAAAGTGTTCCTGTAAATCATGACCAAGGAATTTGCTATCAATCAGAAAAGGTGCAGATCATGATTGACGACTTACAGTAGCAAATTCGAAAACCTTTATACGTCGTGAAACTCCAGCAGTAGCAAAAAGTTCATCGTCTCGGTCAAATTCGATGCTGCAAGTGAGAAGGCAGTTAAATAAAGAGAAAAGGGCAATTCAATGGGAAATTTTCTGCAATCAACATTTATATTACCAATAAGATTAGATGACGAGCCTTGAAGCAAAAGCAAGGGTACTCCCTGTGAGCAGAAGGTCATTTGGTTCGAGTCAGAGACATCTGTCCCCAACCCTCAGAAAGCAAAGATCCTGGATGAACCAGGCTTTCCCTTTTCATTGACTTCTTTAAACATAATACTTTCTGACCGTCAATTTCAAAAACATAATGGCATCCCATTGCTGATTGTATCCATTATTCTGAAATGATTGCTTTTAGACCAATTATACCAAATATCATACACCAGCGTTCTATTAGGTAAATGATTCAAGAACAATGTTCTCAAATTATTAAAATGATCTATTGCCATGTCAGAAACAGTCCCTTCTGTTTCCTTTTTCGTCATTCCTATTTAAGGGCTCCTTTATAAAAATGACTGTGTGACACTAAATGATAACACTTATATACAAAATTTTCATAAACTTCGGGAGTTCCATTTGAAATTTGAAATGCAAAGGGAACCAAGAAACAGTTCCTGAAACTATAAATCAACAAAACTAGATCACTCTCGGCCAAAATAGATGGTCACCTTTAACCAAAAACACATATGAAATATTTCAGTAAATACAACACTCATAGTCAAAGTCAAATATGGTTTTAAAAAAAAAACCTAGTGTGTATAGATTTTAGGCAAATCAACTTGCCAGAGGTTCACTTTTTATTCCACTTGTCAACAAATAATGTCATAGAAGAGAGGTAAATATGTGATAATTTGGGAAGATCATACAGTATTAACACAAACGAATTAATGGAAAAGATCTATACTCCACAAACCTTGATACAATATTTGCTGAATGGAAAAGATCCCCATGCCTAAGTTCAGCAACAACCCGCAACCGACTATGCAAAACAAACAATAATTCAACTTACAAATTTCATGATTGATAAAGATAATGAAGTTAAAAGCAACACATAGACATAAACAACAAACCTGTATCGTGTGAAGGAAGAAAGCACGGACTGAAAATCCTCGAGTCCTGGATGATAACCCTCTCTTGGTATCGGATTGCAATCTTTTTCTTCCTGTTTCTGCGCTTGTCTAGCCCAATACCTCCGCTTTTGCAAGTAACACTCTTGCAAGTCGTTGAACTGATGCAATCGAAAACATAATGAACAACTTTCACTTAAATAACTGTCGACACTCAGCAGAAAGCTACTATCAGKTGGAACATTTGACAGTATAACCTCGCACAAAGCATTTAAGTTACTTGAAAAGGGTTGAGATAATTCACAATGAAAATAGCATGCAACAAAGGCAGCACATGTTTTGTTGGTCCTAAGTCACTTCAATGCTGAAGCTTAAAACTATTTCAATGTGCGGTAAATTTGGATTTTTGCAATGCAGCATGATACCATTACTGGGAGGTTCAACCATGAGCTTTTGCAACCCATGCCTGATTGTTGTGAGTTTTCTTTTTTGGAGTACAAAGTATCAGATATCACTGTATTTTCCCTTCAATTCTGCTGAAGCTGAATCAATAGTTTTCTTTTGCCCAAAAACTAAAAATAAACAAGGGCACACATATAAGGAATATGATGATCATGAACCTCAGGTTTCAATGAATGCATTTGGTTTTATGTTACGATAAAGAATTTGCACATTTATCACATATGACGTTACTAACTGCTTTGAACAAAATGGACTTCCCGATAACTCATTCAGCCTTTCTAATTAGAAAAGATAGTCAATACGGCCCCATCAAAGAAAATCCAAATTCCATCACTAAAAAGAAGTGCACTGACCTGTGCATGAACACGCCTCTTACTTGCTACAGTTGCTCCTGGTTGAGTATTTTGTGAATCTGACCCATTACAAGCATCCTTTCTTTGAACTGTTTGAGAGCTTACAGGAGCATGAACATCAGCTGCCCTACTTTGCGAACCTCCTGCACCCAGCCAGAATTGGCCTTGAACACTGTTGCCAATAAACATATTGCTGTTGTTACGTTTGTCCATCAATGAAGGCCACGATGATCTTACAGTAGGATCGTCAGAAAGCATCCTTAGTTTTATCGAGTATCTTGCTCTTGCTCGATTAAGTTCTACTCTGTCTCTCTCGACAGCATTTATGTCTTCTTTAATGTACTGAAGATCATTTTGTATCTGCAGTAAAGACCAAAAAAGAGAATCAGTGTCAGTGTCATCACATAATGCAATCAAAAAGTAATTATAGCTATTAGACAATTAAGTGTGATATATATATATATAATTATATTAGAGGGTCTGGAGTGTAAATGTATCTCTTATATATATATCCCTGATTGTAATCGGTATACACACACACAATTACCAAGTTTATCTTGGTATCAGAGCCGGCCCTAAACGCCCTACGGCTGCTGCCCTACCGCTGCCGCCCTACCGCAGCCGGCCCTAAACACCCTACGGCTGCTGCCCTACCACTGCCGTCTCCCTACCGCTGCCATCACAAGGCAACCCTAAAGCTACCGCACCCGTCTTCTACCCTACGGCTGCCTCACCTTCTGTCCAATGACAACTGTTGCAGCTTTCACTCCAACCGAGAAAACCACCCATAACTCCCACACAAGTTTGGCTTCACTTTATCACCAAACAACTATGGCTATTGGAAGACAATGGTTCAACCGTTCCTTGTCACAAACAACTTGTTCGGGTATGTTGATGGCACCATTCCTTGTCCACCGATGACTATCTCATCATCATCATCATCATCATCTGGAAAAGATGCCAACAGCACCACAGTGCCCCCACCACAACCAAATCCTAACTACACAGCATGGGTTTCCAATGATGCTCATGTACGGATGCTGATTATTTCTACAATCTCTGAGGCGTCGTTCCAACACGTTCAAGGACTTACCTCCCGTGATCTTTGSCTGTCTCTTGWACRTGCTTAYGCTCCTCACAYATCATCTAGGGAATACACCYTAAAAACTCAGCTTCTTAAACTAGAGATGAAGCCTGCTGAAACCTCCTCCGCATACCTGACCAGGGCTCAAGAATATGCTGATGCTCTCGCCAATATAGGCGAACCAATGAAAGAAAAAGATTTGGTGATGTTGGTTATCTCGGGTCTTAGAGAAGAATAAACGGGATAAAGTCAACACTCCTTGGTCGCCAATTCCCAACTGCCTTTGCAGAACTTCATGGCCTGCTATCAGACCATGACTACATGATCAAGAAATCTGCAACTGACATCTCTCCACCTCAAGCATTCTCGACTGTCACGAACAACCGCAACTCAGCGGTTCCTGGTGCCACCTCGTCTACTCCTCAACCGGATCAACTTCAAGCTATTCAACAGCTTCTGTCACAACTTGGTCTTCAAGTTYAGCCTGTTAATGCAYARCCTGCACATGCCTTTTACACCAACAGATCTGGGAATAATCGTGGCCGTGGACGTGATTCTAGACGCGGACGAGGAAACTACAACAACAGAAGTCAAGGAGGAGGTAACCGTAATCAATTTAGTTGGGCTTCTAATCAAAACACTGTTTTTGGCACATGCAACAGGTGTGGGATTGGTCATATCCCGTCTCATTGCCCCAATCGAGACCCTGCTCCTATGAGGACGAGACAACCACCTTCTGCCAACTTTACAAATTACCGGTCACAAGCTTGGCTTCCGGATACAAGCTCTAGCCATCATGTTGCACCGGACCTATCTAGCTTCGATAACTCTGAGGCCTACTACGGTGAGGACAACCTTCACGTTGGCAATGGTAAGAGTTTACCCATTCTACACATTGGTTCCTCACAACTTCATTCACCAAACAAAACATTTTCCCTTAAAGACATACTACACGTACCTGACATAAAACAGAACTTACTTTCTGTTCAAAAATTCTGTTTTTATAACCATGTGTACTTTGAATTTCACTCTACTTTCTTTGCTGTGAAGGACAAGTTCACACACACTATCCTCCTCACTGGTCCAAGTAATGGTGGTCTCTACTCCTTCCGTCCTCCTCAGCCTCAGCCTGTTCAGAAAATGTCGTTTTCTACCACACGTGCCTCTTCCACCACATGGCACCAAAGACTTGGACATCCACATCCACAACTTTTGAAGTCCATGTTATCTAAATATCATTTACCTTTACAAAATAAGTGTGCTAGTACTTTTTGTGATTCATGTTCTGTTGGTAAATCGTCTAAACTTCATTTGTTACCATCTACTTATAAAAGTTCGCACATTTTGGATTTGGTTTTCTGTGATGTATGGGGGACCGGCTCCTGTTCCTTCTTTTGATGGTCACAATTATTTTTTGCTATGTGTTGATCATTACTCCAGATTTATGTGGATCTTTCCATTAAAACTAAAATCTGATGTTTATGCCACTTTTAAACGATTCCTTGCGATGGTTGAAAGRCATTTTCAAACCAAACTGAAATCTGTCCAAACCGACTGGGGAGGCGAGTTTCGGAATCTCTCCCAATTCTTCTCTCCTCTCGGCATCACCCATCGCCTCTCATGTCCCCATACAAGCGAACAAAATGGCTTTGTTRAACRACGACATCGACAWGTTGTTGAAACSGGTCTTRCTTTACTTGCTCAATCCTATGTTCCACAACGGTTTTGGCATTTTGCTTTTGACACTGCAGTCTATCTTATTAATCGAATGCCATCCAGAACCAACTCAAACACCTCACCATTTGAACATGTGTTCAAACACAAACCCGATTTTTCCTTTCTTCGGGTTTTTGGATGCCAATGCTACCCTCATCTCCGTCCATACAATAAACATAAAATTGACTTCCGCTCTACATCTTGTGTGTTCCTTGGTTACAGCATCGCTCATCATGGCTATCGGTGTTACGACCCACAGTCTGATCGTCTTTACGTACCCCGTCATGTTCGATTTAATGAACAATCATTTCCTTTCCAAACATCTCCTCCAACCACTCCAAATTCTTACGTCTCCACCTATCATAAATCTGACCTCCCACCCACCTCTTCATCCTCCACAGGACCTAATGAACATCCTGCTCCACCAGAACCGACACCCTCCACCGCACTTACAGTGCAAACTGTCCCACAAGAAACAACACCTACCACCACCCCTCCTAATGACCACCCTACGGCCCAACCACCCCTTATCCACACCTATCACCGTCGTTCCATAGTCACCGAACCACCACCGCAACCTACCCCTACCCCCCCCTCTACCACCGAACAACCCACCTGTACTCGACCACCCAACCTACGCCCCAATCCCAAACAAAACAAACCAAACCTTACAATGCCTCCTCATACCATACCCATCATCCTTCACCTGACACCGAACCGACCACCTTTACTATTGCTAACGGGTACCCTCAGTGGCGTACCGCCATGGCTGACGAGTATTCAGCGCTGATGCGGAATGGTACTTGGACATTAGTACCATGCGTTCCAAATTCCAACGTAATTGATTGCAAGTGGGTATACAAACTAAAAAGGGACCAAACAGGGGCAATAAAACGTTACAAGGCACGACTAGTAGCCAAAGGGTTTCGGTAGCAACCAGGCATTGATTATCAGGAGACGTTCAGTCCCGTGGTCAAATCGACCACCATACGTGTTGTTCTATCTCTGGCCGCAACACAGAAATGGTCTCTAAGGCAACTTGATGTGAAAAATG